TGATTTTGAACATTGTTTTCGCTGTTTTGATGAACCGATAGAGGGATTGGGGGTCCGATAGACCCACACTATTGGGTGTTATAATACCCGACAACATCTCAAATACGCGTAGAAATGTTGGTTTCAATTTGCATTTATAATTATATAAATATAATAAATGTATACTTAAAACAAATATTATACCACTTATTGTCACTATTGCTATATGAATACCGGCGCCAATCATATGATGATAATCGCCAAATATTATGACAATTGTCTCATTTCGGCCCTTATTTGCAATACCAATAAAAGTAAATAATATGCAAATAAAATGGCAAATAAACAAATTTGTTGGAGCGGAGTACCATGGTCGTTTAGTTGGTACTTTGGGTTTAAATAGAGATAACCCTATTTTATACAATTGATTCTCTGCCGATTGTATTCGCAATTTATTTGGCAATAATTTATTGCATTTAATGCCAGACATTAGAGTATGAATTTTGTTTGACTTTTTAGGCATATTAATTGTGTATATTATTAACTGTACAATTTTGCCAAAGTTTACAGCTACTCCATGTCAGCAATCAACTAACCTCCCGGTCAGTTCATAAATATAATTTTTAAATAATTTGTAATACGTACTCTATTTGTTAAAATTTATTTACTCGTTCAAGAATATTTAAGTTTTACAAACCTATAACTTATATAAAAGGTTGTAAATACTGTATGGAATATTGATTTGGAATTTTTATATTTCAATATTAAATGCAGTTTATTTAAACATTCATTTTATTTATTATTTTATAACAGAAAAATCATTTTAAAAGCAAACATATATCCCGGTTGTTATGGAAACTCTAGATAAAAACTTAATGTATTTTCTATAAATGGGACGACTCGAGCAATTCTGAAACTAGGGTGACCAACTCAAAATTTTCAAAACCGGGACATTTCATAAACAATTATTAAAAATTCCGGGACATTGCAGGACCTTTCAAAATTTCCACAGGGACATTTTGGGTAACATGCCGTTTTCCCCGGGACGCTCAATGGTTCTGTGAAAACTCCGCCTGGACAAAATGTGCCAAACAGGGACTGTCCCGGTAAAAAAGGACAGTTGGTTACCCTATCTGAAACACCGTTACGTATTGTTTATGGATTTGTATGCTTTGAATATTATGATAGGTTTATGCCATTAAATAAAGTTAATATTGCCCAATTGCACAAAATAAGTTATGTTATATTTAACTAATGTATATTTAAAGAAATAACAATTGAATTTACATTAATGCAGTTATTATTTGTAAAGAATAAAACATAGATTATTATTTTACAAGAATAAAATATAGATCAATCATTAATGACTATAATGTTTAAAGTAAATAACCATTAATATTGTTTACTCTATTGTTTAGAAACTTTTATTATTTACATTTTGATAAATAACATTATGAAATGTATATGTTTAAAATTTAGTTTATTCTATTAAGTATTTTTAATCGATATACCATATATAACTGTATGTAAATTAAGTTAGGAAAATTTTATTTTATTCTGTATAATATAGTTTCAATGAAATTTGTTTACTGGTTATATATTGCAAATAAGTATTCGTATATTATGTATCGTTAAATATTTATTTAGTATGTAAACGCATTATTTGAATAAAAAATCAATTTAATTTATATTTACTATTTCAACATAAACATTATAAAACGTTTATAAAAATTTAATTAAACGAAATATTGTATAAATAATATTTTAAAAAATTTTCAAATTATTTTGTCACATTATTAGTTTCAAAGATAAAAACATTACAACATTTTTATTTAACAATAATTATTTCACAAACAACATTATCTGTGTTGAAAGTACATATAAATTTTTTATAATCTTGATTTAAAATTTTAACGTAATTGATATTATTAAGAAAAGTATCTGGACATTTAATTGTTTATAATATTTTAGATTCTGTTGAATTTTATGAGCAAAAATATTGCATATAAATGCTAATATTTATTAAATTTTACTGATATATTGCATGTAAATTAGTTTTCAAATGAAGTTTTATCTGATTAATAGACAATTATCCGTGGCCACAAATGAGGTAAATATTGATTTTAAAGTACATCTTATAACTCTTATAATCCTATGAAAGAACGCGCCGTATATGTCAGGTGTGAAGCGATATATAAGTGATAAAACACAAGCCATTGATGGCATCGACGGACAGTTATTGCGGACATTAAGTCAATGTTTCAATTTTACGTACCGTTTGGTTGACTGTAACCGACAATGGGGTAACAGATTGCCTAATAATACATGGGATGGAGTAATTGGAGAGATTTACCATAATGTATTTAAAATATTAAATTTTTAATATAAGTTATAAAAATTTTATACAGTATAATAATAATTATTATACTAAATATTGGACTAGAGATCGGATTTAGGAATTGGTGACCTGAGTATTTTGGACAGTCGTTTGAAGGCAGTAACTTATAGTTATGCACATTACACGAGTTCGTATATATTTACTACACCCGTATATCAGAGCATCCGTTATAATACATCACTTTTGGGGCCTTTTTATACCCAGATCTGGGAATTAATATTGTTATCACTGATTGTGTTAATTATACTAAACATCGCAATCAATTTTATCAAATATAAACGATTTACAATTAGTAATCATTTCATAGCAATACTACTCTCACAATCGATATCTAAGATTTCATCGCAAAACACAATCAGATTTGTTATAATTCTATGGATTTTATCGACATTTTTATTACGACAATATTATGGCGGAGAGCTCTACGGACAGGTGGCCTATCCTTCAAAACAACAGCCCATTGAGACAATCGATGAATTATTTACGGCTCAAATCAATGGACAAATTGATCTAATATTAAATGAGAAGAACCCATTTGTGCCCACAATTCGGAGAATATGTGTAAGTTTATTATTCTAACAATATTTAATCAATTACTGTCTATTATAACTTATAATTTATAAAGTTAAAAAAATTTCATTATTATTAAATCCATAGAAATCTCGGATACAAACGGCTCAAAACATCTATAAAATATTAACATTTGACGACGAACAAGATGCATTTAATTTAATGGCTAGATATTCCACAAAATATGTGTACATGGCCAAAAGGGATTTTATTGAGCATTATATATCGAAACAACGTGGTGCCTATTTTTATTATGTGCCCCCAATATCTGATGAAACTGACATGTTCAATGATTTGCTCGCCATTGCATTTAATAAACAATTTATGTTTATTGAATTGTTTGACAAAACGTAAGTAGCGTGCTTTGAATTTGTTAATTTTAATTGAGCTGATTTTTATAAATTTTAATTAGAATTACATGGATAAAAAGTGCTGGACTTATTGACCACTGGAAGCGTGAGTTCTATAGAAAAATCAAACCAAATAATTTAAATTTGATTACATATTATGTAAATTTATATAAAATTTCGTTGAATTTAAGGCAATTGAAAAATGCATTCAATGTTTGCTTTTATGGTTTTATTGTTTCTTTATTTATATATTTTATAGACATTTTTTATTTATTAATTATTAAGCAATTTATTTTTAAATAAATCAATATTATTTTATAGTATTAATTAACATTTTATCCAAATTAAATTTTGCTATACTTATGTATTTTACTTATATAAATTATTTAAATTAAATGCAACAATAAATAACATACAAATATATCAAACCAATCGATTATTTACTATTGGTATAAATGTATGAAAATGACTATCAATTCGTTTTGATCAAATTACGAAATTAGTTTTATAATTTAATGTAACTTTTCTAATAATTAAAAATCAAGTTTTGTTAAAATCGGATAATTAGTTTAATGACAGTTAAAATTTAATCCCCCATATAAATACATAATGTTGCCTAGCTTCATTAATGAAGCAAATATTTTGTAATGTTTACTTGTTTGGTGTAATTTATTTTTGTATTCTTTAATTAGATTTTGAAAATGAACAATACATGTTTAAGAATGGATATCAATGTTTATACAATTATTATACAGTACTTTATATTTTATTTATCAATAATAATTTTTTACAAACCATTATATTGAAATAGATGCTGAATTTCTAAGTCATTTAAAATACAAATGTAATTTATATTATGGCGACGCCCATCCACATTCAAAATAAATTTCATTTTGCGAGTCTTTCAATTAATCTATTTGTTATAGAATACTGTAATATTGATTATAAAGTAATGTAATGTATACTTAATAGGCATAACATTAAGATTGTTATATTAAACAAGGATCACACAGCGATGCTATATATACGTTAACCACAATTCGGGAAATGCATCGAACATTTTAACTTTTTCAACACCATTGTTAGAATACTTTCACTATTATCCGAACGGTCCTATAAACCACATTATTCATACTGAATTGTGGTTAAAAATAATAATTTCGTTTTGAAATGCAATAACAATATTGCATATTATTCGTAGCGTTTGACACTTCCAATTCATGTCCAGTAAATTCCGAAAATATTTTTGGAAGCAAAATTATTTTATCTGTCTTTAACTACGGATAAAAATTTAAAATACTTGTTAAATTAAAAACATTTTGTATTAAATAATAAAAAATATAAAATTAAACGTAAAACATTGTATTTTGAATTACAAATAAGAAAATAATAATTACCAATAATTGATTTGTAAAGAATCGGTTTAGAATGAGAGATAAATTTTGTAATAAATTTACAGAAGGAATCGCTGTCTCCATAAATAACAATATATTTCATATAAATGAACGTAATTTAAGTTTTTCAGCCGAATTCTGGCAGCCATTCGTAGATGTGGGGGATATTGTCGGCACAAATGACATACATATTTGCGGACCATTTCTTGGTATAGCGTATGAAATTGCGCTCAAAATGAATGCAAAGTAAGTGAAAACAATTGTTAAACAAAAATTTTAATTACATGTCATATTAGTTTAATTTTTAGGCCAACAACCTTTGGAAATAATTACGAATATTATAAACTGATGGCTAATATGTCGACTAACTTTGCGTTGTCTCCATTGCCTCCGATCACTGTTTTCATGGAGACCGGTATAAAGTATATTGAATTATCACAATGTATTGGAAACTTGCCCATGTTATCAATACTATCAGCTAAAAAACTTATGCCCCAACAATTAACACAATTACTTTTTATATTTGATCCGAGCGTATGGATATTGTTTGTATTATTTTACTTGGTTACTTCAACGATTGAAACTATAATTGAGAAAACATGGTTACCGTTTATTAGTTTATTTGGGCACATATTTAAGCAAAATTCACATCTTTTACAGAGAAATATGAAGACTTCAATAATTGCATTGATTTGGACATTTGGCTCGAATATATTAATGTGGAGCTACTCTGGAGTATTGCTCACATATCTTGAATTCAGTCTACCATACGATGTGATTGATTCGCTCCAAGATTTAGCTGAAAAAGGTATAATGTTTGGTGCGTTTGAACATGAACCAGCTTTTGATTACCTTCATTCTCCACACGAACCCTATTATACCCCATTTAAGGGACGGATAATACCTGTAACAATTGGCAATAATAAGCAAGCATGGGAAAAACAGGTTTTTGATAGCATTTCAAAAGGTGTGTTCGCTTTGGTAACTGATAAGCCATTTAATGATTATTATTACGCCACCAAATTATTTACTCATCCAAACCTTTATACATCAAAATATAATAGTTTGGTTTTGCCATATTTTATGCCACTCTCTAAATATAATACGAGAAAAATTAATAATGTTATTAATTATATGTAAGACTTATATATATTTATATAATATATTCTTATTTATATTATTTGTTTTACTAATATAAACTTATTTTTGTCAGAATTGGTTGTCTCTCCGAAAGCGGTATTTATGAGTATTGGGTTAGAAATACTTTGGAGATTAATAACGACGCCTTCAGAAGAGGTATCATTGAAGCCGAAGACAAATATCACTTCTCATCACTCGGTTTGCAAAAACTAAAAGGTGTTTACCTTTTACTCCTATTCTCATCTATTTTATCGTTTATTTCATTTATTTCTGAAATTATGTATAAAACTAAATGTTTTTATGCAAAAGCCGTGTAATGTGTGATATTATAAATTATAATTTCGGAGGTTTGCCTGGATTTGCAATTTTAAAGTGGTTAAGTTAAGGCAATAAATCAAGGTAAAAATTAATTTAAAATTATGTCTATTCTGATATTGTCTGTAATATGCATAAACATATTGTTGTTATAAAAGTTATAATGCATTTAATTAACAAATTGGCACTCGTGTAAATACCTATTAATTTAATATTTACATAATTTAATTATTTCTATAATTTTGAGTTTTACTCATATTCAGCTTATTTTGTTAAAAAATTTTAATCAATATTCAATATAAAACTTTATGTACACGAATTAATAAAATTTTCGTTTATTGTGTTAAATATAATGTTTAGTTTAAATATAATATTTTTACTTGTTATGTATCGCCGCTTATTATACTTTATATTTATTTAGTATTTAAAAGTATTATTTAAATTAAATTGATATTCTTTGTAATTTTTATTATACGTTTATAAAAATTTAATCAAATGAAATATAAATTGTAATAAATATTTTACAAAAGTAATTATTAGTTTTTACAACAAAAACATTCTAACATGTATTATAATATATTTAATTAGATTTATCTAGTATTGTTATAAAGTTTAATAAATATATGAATAATAAAATAGTTTACTGTACTAGTTAAACATTTAATTTTATAAATGTATTGTAAAAATAAATTGCTTTGGTTATTTGTTAAACTATGTTAAATTTTATGGGCAAAACATTTTCTGTGGCTACAAATGGGGTAACATTTTTAATCAATTTATAATATATAAATAATAATTATTTTGTGTTAATTTTTATTATTTCAAAGTTTCATCCATTTATGTCAGGCGTTAAGCAGTATATGAATGATAAAACACAAGCCATTGATGGCATCGACGGACAGTTATTGCGGACATTAAGTCAATGTTTCAATTTTACGTACCGTTTGGTTGACTGCAATCATAAATGGGGTAAAAAATCATCAAATAATACATGGGATGGAATTGTTGGAGAGGTTTATCATAATGTAATTAAGAATATGTATCATTATCAAAATTTAATAAATTTAAAAATTGCATAATAATAATGATTATACTAAATATTTGACCAGAGATCGGATTTAGGAATGGGTGACCTGAGTATTTTGGACAGTCGTTTGGACGCAGTGACTTATAGTTATACACATTACACGACCTCATATACCTTTACAACACCTGTATATCAGAGCAT